GAAGCGGTCTGAGGACACGGAAGAGAAAGACAGTGTTTTGTGTTTGAGGGAACATGCAAAAGTGTGTAAAAGTTTAGTTTTTGAATGAGACACTTTTTCTCACTTTCCAGTTCAACTAAACAGCCCAAGTTTTGACTTCAGGACAGACTTTTTTTGCCCCCTTTCTTTTAAAAACAAATACATATCAACACAAACCGGCAATGGATAAGATGGGTATATGCGGTAAGACATTCTGTTTAGGGTTTGTGCATGTTTTGTGAACCCTAAAGTGTGAAAATTCAGCGCATTTGTCATTGTCGTGCTGTAAAAGCCACATTGAAATATTTGCACAAAAAACCGAAACAATAGACAACAAAACAACAAAACAATGGTCTCAGGCTCGAAGGTGACTCTGTGTTAAATGTCAGGATCATTACGTCACTCTCTCAGTCTACACACTACACACTGTACACTACACACTGTACACTACACACTGTACACTACACACTGTACACTACACACTACACACTGTACACTACACACTACACACTACACACTGTACACTACACACTGTACACTACACACTGTACACTACACACTGTACACTACACACTACACACTGTACACTACACACTACACACTACACACTGTACACTACACACTGTACACTACACACTGTACACTGCACACTGTACACTACACACTGTACACTGCACACTGTACACTACACACTGTACACTACACACTACACACTACACACTGTACACTACACACTGTACACTACACACTGTACACTGTACACTACACACTACACACTGTACACTACACACTACACACTGTACACTACACACTACACACTGTACACTACACACTACACACTGTACATTACACACTACACACTGTACACTACACACTACACACTGTACATTACACACTACACACTGTACACTGCACACTGTACACTACACACTGTACAATACACACTACACACTGTACACTACACACTGTACACTGCACACTACACACTACACACTGTACACTACACACTACACACTGTACACTACACACTACACACTGTACACTGCACACTACACACTGTACACGACACACTGTACACTACACACTACACACTGTACACTACACACTACACACTGTACACTGCACACTACACACTGTACACTACACACTGTACACTACACACTACACACTGTACACTACACACTACACACTGTACACTACACACTACACACTGTACACTGCACACTACACACTGTACACTACACACTGTACACTGCACACTACACACTACACACTGTACACTACACACTACACACTGTACACTACACACTACACACTGTACACTGCACACTACACACTGCACACTACACACTGTACACTACACACTGTACACTACACACTACACACTGTACACTACACACTGCACACTGTACACTACACACTGCACACTGTACACTACACACTGTACACTACACACTACACACTGTACACTGCACACTGTACACTACACACTACACACTGTACATTACACACTACACACTGTACACTACACACTGTACACTACACACTGTACACTACACACTACACACTGTACACTACACACTGTACACTGTACACTGCACACAGTACACTACACACTACACACTGTACACTACACACTGCACACTGTACACTACACACTGTACACTACACACTGTACACTACACACTGTACACTACACACTGTACACTGCACACGGTACACTACACACTGTACACTACACACTACACACTGTACACTACACACTGTACACTACACACTACACACTGTACACTACACACTGTACACTACACACTGTACACTACACACTACACACTGTACACTACACACTACACACTGTACACTACACACTGTACACTACACACTACACACTGTACACTACACACTGTACACTACACACTGTACACTGCACACTGTACACTACACACTGTACACTACACACCACACACTGTACCTGCCCCTGTGCCATAAAAGGACGTCTTTGTTCGCGGTTTTCCTCATGCATTACCCATGAGCCTCTGCTGCTGAACTCAGTTGGATGACAACGGTGGTGGGATGGCCATGTCCCTCTGCGTCTGTGACAAATGTGAAGTCTACACTCTGCTCTGCTGTAGGTCTCAGAGAGTCCAAGTCCAAGTCCAAGTCCAAGTCCAAGTCCAAGTCTTTCTGTGCGTTTCCTTTGAAAGCGTTTGCTCAGATGCAATGGAATACTTTTAGTAGTAGCAATAGTTATAGTAGTAGTAGCAGTAGTAGCATCAGCATTAGCAGTAAATGTGTAGTAGCAGTAGTAGTAGTAGCAGAAAGAGCAGTAGCAGTAGCAGCATCAGCAGTAGAATCAGTAGTGGTACTAGTGGTAGTAGTAATAGCAGTAATAGTAGTATCAGCAGTAGCAGTAGTAGTAGTAGTAGCATCAGTAGTAGTAGTAGTAGTAGTTATAGCAGTAGTAGTAGTAGTTATAGCAGTAGTAGCATCAGTAGTAGTAGTAGTAGTAGTTATAGCAGTAGTAGTAGTAGCAGTAGTAGCATCAGTAGTAGTAGTAGTAGTAGTAGTAGTTATAGCAGTAGTAGTAGTAGCAGTAGTAGCATCAGTAGTAGTAGTAGTTATAGCAGTAGTAGTAGTAGCAGTAGTAGCATCAGTAGTAGTAGTAGTTATAGCAGTAGTAGTAGTAGCATTAGCAGCATCAGCAGTAGAATCAGTAGTGGTACTAGTGGTAGTAGTAATAGCAGTAATAGTAGTATCAGCAGTAGCAGTAGAAGTGTAGTAGCAGTAGTAGTAGTAGTAGTAATAGCAGTATAAGCATCAGCAGTAGCAGTAGTAGTAGTAGTAGTAGTAGTAGCAATAGTAGCATCAGCAGTAGTAGTAGTAGTTATAGCAGTAGTAGCATCAGTAGTAGTAGTAGTAGTTATAGCAGTAGTAGTAGTAGCAGTAGTAGTAGTAGTAGCAATAGTAGCATCAGCAGTAGTAGTAGTAGTAGCAGTAGTAGCATCAGCAGTAGTAGTAGTAGCAGTAGTAGTAGTAGCAATAGTAGCATCAGCAGTAGTAGTAGTAGTAGCAGCAGTAGTAGTAGTAGCAATAGTAGCATCAGTAGTAGTAGTAGTAGTAGTTATAGCAGTAGAAGTGTAGTAGTAGCAGTAGTGGTAATAACAGTAGTAGTCGTTCATTTCACTACATTTACATTACAACATTATTCATTTCAAACACATTCCTAATGAACTAGAAACTTTTTATAATCCATTTATTTTTTGTTCATATTTTATTCGTTTTTTAATACACAGCTTTTTTCTCAGTCACTAAAGATATGTTGGACCAAAACACAACAAACGAGGAGTAAACGTCTCAAACCCGGAGCGACACCCACCGAACCTTTCCCTAAACATTCCCATAATCCATCTCTCTGTCTTGGCTCCACTTTCTCTGCTCCGGCGGTGGATGTTCACGACTTCTGTGTCCTTTATGACTATTGTGTCCTCTCCCTCTGAGCTCGCTGCAGTAAATGTCAGGTGGACAGGAAGAAAAAAAAAAGAGAAATGGCTTTAGGTTGGGTCCCAAAATCCACTTGGAATGAAAAACTCTGATCTCCTTCAGGTGACAGACTCAATCCAATCGCTGCCTCATTTCAGCGCTCATTTACCTTCCATTATTCACACCATTAACCAGAGAGCGTCTCCGTGGAAGTGTCGGCGGCATCTGGATGTGCTGGGCTTGTACTCCACACATTAGAAAGGAAGCATTTGTCTTTCGTTATTTTATGATCAGACGGAGAAGGTGAGAAGGTAAAGGACGATGGATTGATGTTCCTAATCTAAATTAAAATGTTTACTGAACATAAGTCTGTCCTCCCCTTCACTCAAACTGCTCCCATCTCAAACTTCAGATTCAGATTCATGAATTAACAACTACAATTGTTATTTTTCTTGCTTACTTACTTTCACTCACTTTTTTATATAGCTGTTTATCCACATGTTATGTTGAAGACATTAAAGCCAGGGTACCTAACTTTCAAAGCACAAATATAAATAATTATGTAATAAGTTCACAACATTCAACAAGAGAAAGACGGAAAGTATTATTAAAGAAACCAAAAAAACGCCAGCTTTAAGTAAATATTGTCAAGATCATGTAAAGGTGAATGTCATTTACTTTATAAATTGAGAAGAGAGAGTGAAACTTTAGTGAATGCAAGTATACTGGTTAGCCCCGCCCATGCTCACCTCTGCAGCTTCCTGATTGGTCAAAATCAATTCAAATCCTTAAAGATGCAGTCAGCAATTTTGTTAGCTTAGCCGTAGCACCGACTGGAAACCACTCCCCCCTCCCCTCCCTCTCCATCAAACCAAACATCCAGCATTTTCTTTTCTTTGTCACAACAGGGAGAGTGGGCGGGAAGTTGGCATTTTCTGTTCAGCCCTTTAATGTTTTAGAAAATCTGATAACTCCGGTGCACTCTGAGAAACAGGAAGAGGGTGAAGGGGGTAAACACATCCCATTGGTTCATTGGGGATGAACGAATCCCATTGGTTTATTTTCATCAGTCCGCTCCAAAATATGTTTTATTAATTTTTGTAGACTACAGACATCTGGTCAAATCCATTACTATTTGAAAACACATGATAACTTGATACTTTTAGGGTTTAGGGACGTTTTCCAACAATAATTAAACAAATGCGCCTGGAACAAAAATCACTGACTGCCTCTTTAAGTGTCCTTTGTCATTGGTTTAACTGTTCTCCTCCAGAAAATCTCACTGGTTGTAGTTTTATTTTTTTTCAACTACCAACTGCACATAATAATAAAGCGTTCCATAAATATACAAACATGAAGAGACAGAAATATACTTCTTTTACAAATAAAATAACCTCTAGATCTAAAAGCACATACAGTGATAAATCCTGTTGAGATTCAGATCCTGAGCTGGTCTGGTCCATCTGAGAATAGACTGGATTATTCTGGGCCACTTCTCTCTTTCATCTCTGCGTCGCCATCCGTCTTCCTCCTCTGCTCTCGCGCCTGTTCCCGCGGCGCTCGGCTCTGGTTTTAGCTTTTGGCGTTTGGCACAATCGGAGCGCGGTCACCCGAAGCCCGTGCATTTCAGCCATTACGGCGGCCGCTCCTCTGTGCCGCGGATCCGAACGTGCCTCTCCGGTTTCAGCCCAGCCCACCGCCCCAGCTGTCCGTTCACCACTGCTGCATACTGTACATACTACTGTACTCTGCATTCTGCTCATCTCCAAACGCCGCTTTATATCCAGGACTCACGCACACCGACTCCAAAGACCTACAGCCGATTCATTTAGCTTTTTATTATTTTGTTTTGTCTCTTGTTAATCGGTACTTTTCCTGTAAAGCATCTCTGAGTGTCCAACAAAGCACATGAGAACAATGTATTATTATTTTCATTATTATTGTTATGATTTTTCTTTCTTTTTTTCTGCCTGAGATGTTTCTGCAGTACAGTGTTCACGGTTTTACACTGGTCCAGACCAGAGCAGAGAGGATTCATGGTTTTACACTGGTCCAGACCAGAGCAGAGAGGATTCATGGTCCGAACCAAGAGGATCAGGTGAAAATCCACTGGAGGAATGCTAACTTTTTGAACATTGCTAACAAAGCTTTTAGCATTTTACTTTGGACCAGAGCAGAGAAAATGGTCCGAACTACAGTAAGCGACGGCTCCATCTCTGCTGCTGTGGCCGGCTTCAGCATTTTAATACTATTGTTAGCTTTTTATTTTTTATAGAATGATCTATTTATTTGTTTTGTTTGTTTGGATGGCTGTGTTTCTGCTGCTACTGAACACCTACATTTCTCCTGTGGGGATCAATAAAGCTAGTATCTTCTAAGTCTGATCCATTGAGTTTGTGTTGATATGTGTTTGTTTTGAAAAGTAAGGGAGCAAAAAAGTCTGTCCTAAAGTCAAAACTTGGGCTGCTAAGTTAAACTGGAAAGTGAGAAAATGTGTCTCACTCCAAAACTAAACTTATTACATTTATTTCAATGTTTTTTTTTTGTATTGCCCTGAATCACAACCGCGACAGCCTTGGAGGACTTTACAAAGTTGTCGATTCATCAACAATCAAACAGGTCAGAGTTAACACAGAAAATACAATAGGAACAATCCATAGACTGTAAATATTAACGGAGGTAGTCACGCCTTTCACCGCCGTTCTAACTAATGTGACACAACTTCCGCGGTCTTGGGGCAGTTTCAAAATGGCCGCGGGGGCCGGAAAATGTGAAAAAACGCACAAACCCCATTCATTTAAACGAGTGCCTTCAAAATTTCACAGCGACTAAACTAGAGTGGTCCAAAGAAAATCCACCCCCCTCAGCATTGACTCACATGTGGAACGGAGCTTTGGGCCAAGAGCCAACTTTTGGTCCATCCTGTAAAGACGTTTTCCAGAGGTCTGTCAATGCTATATGTTAGCATTGGCTAATTCTTATTCTGGGTCCACCCCCATCGGCCCAGGGTGGTATTGCAGCATGTCAGCGCACGTTTACATGCATTATTCCAGTGAAATATGGAACATAAATTGATAACCATTGCTGTTTTTTGTTCACTTCAACAAGATTAGGTGAAAATATGAAATCTGAATCTTATTTGCGGTCTCTCAAATGTAGTGTTGATAATGGGGGAGATTATAAGGTACATATTCCGTCTCTGTGCGGAGTGAGAGACATAGGCCCACAACACGTAAAGTGCTTTGTGACTCCGGTCTGTGAAAGGCACTATATAAATAAATATGTCTTACTTATAAAAGCTTTTTGATTTGGCCTTCTCCTTTAGAGCTTCGTTCCTTGAAATTATATGTAACTGTAAAAATACATTTTAAAAACGCTCTAATAAACTACTACTACATGAACTGTTTATTTTTCTTTTGTATTCTTTTCTTTTTATTTTCTATCAAGGACCTACTATGTATTTTGATGCTGAATTGACCAAACAGAGACTTCAAAGAACTACTGCACTTTCCTCTAATGTTCTTTTTTATTTGATTCATTCATGCATATCTGTGTAGCACTGTATACTACTACTACTACTACTACTACTACTACTACTACTACTACTACTACTACTACTACTACTACTACTACTACTACTACTACTACTACTACTACTACTACTACTACTACTACTACTACTACTACCACCACCACCACCACGACTATCACTATACCTATACTAGTACCACTTCGGCGGCACGGTGGCTGAGTGGATAGCACTCTCGCCTCTCAGCAAGAAGGTCCTGGGTTCGAATCCCGGTCGGACCAGGGCCTTTCTGAGTGGAGTTTGCATGTTCTCCCCGTGTCTGCGTAGGTTTCCTCCGGGTACTCCGGTTTCCCCTACCACTAAAAATATGTACAATAGTTCTGGCATGTGCCTCCTGTACTGGTGACCCTGCTCCCATCTCTGTGTGGAGTGAGAGACAAATGCCCAAAATTAACAATTGTAAACCGCTTTAAGACTCAGATCTGCAGTGAAAAGGCGGTATATAAATAAAAACGTACTTAAAAAACGTACGTACTTCTACTTCTAAAGAGACAGGCACCAATGTCCGTAATAGCCCAGGATCTACAGCATCACTACCCCTGTGTTTAGCTCCAGACTGATGCTATGGCCTCTATATAACTTTTGTCTCAGTAACTTTTTACAATTCCTCCAATCTCATTCTCAGACCAATTTTAGTTTTTAGTTTAGTTTAGTTTATTCGGTCAGGCATCGAAAACAAAGTTGTACAAGGATAGTTTCCACAGGAACACAAAATATTCCAAAAAAAAAAGAAGAATGTACCGGATAAACTGATACTTTACTTTACTTTACACTGACCGAAAAGGCGTCGGCTGAAGCATAAGCTTATAATGCCTGCCTTTACAACACAACATTTGTGTTTTTCCTCATTGGAAATACAAAAAATAAAAAATCAGGCCGTTTATCCATTAAGGAGATACAGAAACAGAAAATTATTGGACACATTTCAAGTATGGGCGGCACGGTGGCTGAGTGGATAGCACTCTCGCCTCTCAGCAAGAAGGTCCTGGGTTCGAATCCCGGTCGGACCAGGGCCTTTCTGAGTGGAGTTTGCATGTTCTCCCCGTGTCTGCGTAGGTTTCCTCCGGGTACTCCGGTTTCCCCTACCACTAAAAATATGCCCAATAGACATGTCTAGCATGCGCTTCCTGTACTGGCCCCGCTCCCATCTCTGTGTGGAGTGAGAGACAAATGCCCAAAATTAACAATTGTAAACCGCTTTGAGACTCAGATCTGCAGTGAAAAGGCGGTATATAAATAAAAACTTACTTACTATCTGACAAGAGTCTTATTTGTATATAATCTTTTAAAATGAAAGAGAGAGGTGCACTGTTTGAGTTCCTCTGTACAGTTATTCCAGAGGTCGACCCCTTTAATAGAAATGCAGGAACCCATTGTATCTGTTCTAAAATATTCTTATATTTATTTATTATTTCAACAAGCCAGAGTCCATCCACCCGGCCTTAAGTCCACGAGAACTGAGTATCTTTGGCCACATGTCTGTCTCTCTGCTGAGGTTCCTTTCCGCTCCATTTCTCCAGGACAAAGCCTGAACCATGGCCGGAGGCTGGTGCCGCTATGATCGCGCTGGTTTGGGAGGGCTGATAAAAGGGCTCGATTAGGCCCTGAATGGACACCTATTAAGGGGACATGAACACCGGAGGGAAAGGGGGGGAAAAGAGGAGAAGTGGGGGGATAGAGGGGTAGAGAGATCCTGGAGCTGAGATACAGGGGGCAGCTGTATTCCCACTGCTTTGGGCACAATGCTTTCTCCTCAATGGAACGACATTAGGAGAAAAACAGAAAAAGGGGAGAGGCATTCACACCGCGTCAGAACTGGGTCAAACCTGGATGTGAGTTAGTGAATGTAGATGAGAACAAAGTCTACATTGAGTTTCGGAGGAGAACGGTGCATTGGTGGAACAGCTAAAACGTGTTAAAAAGGAGAAATAACAGCTCGTTCGTATAGCCTGGTCGTACCACACCATAGTACAAGTTACATTTCGTGCTAAGGTCTGGATTTGCTCCATTGAGCTCCGTTTACAGATGGGAGGGGTTAACTCCTTTTGCAGATTGAAACCATTGGATCTGAGTTTACCGTGACGTTTGTAATGCGCCTGAGTGAGTCGTTAGCATTTAGCTTTAGCCATCTCCTTTGCCGCTAAAAGAGCCCGTGGGGAGTAGCGCCACAATTTTTTCAAGTGATAACATTTGCTAAACATTCCTCTTGCTCCGGCTTCAATTTCTTGATAGAACCAGACCGGAATACTTTACTATCACATTTTTTGCCACTGCCAAACTACAACCTGCCCGTTCGACGCAAACTCTTGACGTCACCCACAACTAACTACAACACTCTCGCTGATTGGTCGGTCGAAATTCAACCGATTGTAATCGCTAACACAGGGACCAGACCCAGACGCTACATGCAGTGAAATGATGATTGAGCGGAGTGTACGAATGGATAAGGCCAGGCTAGCTCATTCATAATCATAGTCCTGAAGACGGAGCGTTTGGGCGAAAGGGGAAAGGTTAAATGTGTCTATAAGTTCAAAAACAGTGTGATGCTGGAGGGTCTAAGGACTGACCAACACCATCCATCCAGTTACCCGGAGGTGGTATCGAACCCAGGACCTTCGTAATGTTGAGGCGCAAGCTCTAAACACTGCACCGCCATTGTCAAGGGGTCTTTCTGAGTGGAGTTTGCATGTTCTCCCTGTGCTTGCGTAGGTGTCCTCCTGGTACTCCGGTTTCCCCTACCACTAAAAACATGCTCACTAGGTTAAATCCCCCAGCTCTGGTTCTGACCAAGCCGAGCATCAACATCTGGAGATGGGTTCCTGGGCGCCTGACGTAAGCCTTAGCACCAGTACAGGAGGGTTATAGCTTCCTTTAACCTAAGTCATTTTTAAGCAAGAATAATTGGTTTGTTTTAACCTTTTAAATGTAACATGAAAGTATTCTATACCATGAACTATCTTAATAATATCATTTATCATGTTTAGCTGTGCTTTAACCTGTAATAATTCTAACTTCAATGTAACTGCTTTATAATGGTTTTAAAACTGTCCAGTTATTGCACTGCAATAACTGGACAGTTTTTAAACCATTATAAGCAGTTACATTGAAGTTAGAATTATTACAGGTTAAAGCACAGCTAAACATGATAAATTTTATCATGTTTAG